CAGGCTCAAGCATAGCTTCCCTGGTGAAGTTTTTCCCACACATAAAATGGTATTAGGAACTTTCTTCTTCGGGTGCTCAAAAAAATCTTAAATCTATGTTTATTGAGAAGCACTTATTTTAAAATTTAACTATTTGCTCTTGACTATAGATTGTGAGTCTTACGAACATTGTAACCCTATACCTTCTCCCTGAGGCTGACATATAATAATATTAATATATTCTAATACCACAATAAATATTTGGCGGATGAATAAATAAAGGTCGAATCCATGGATTTTAAGAAGCATCAATTTCTACAGATAAATTACTTTGGTCTCAGTGGTTCTATTTTAAACAAGGATTTGTTTTTATACATTTTTATATCAAATCCATCATAGCTCTCTGGGCATTCCAGTTGTGGCCTCCTAATATCACTACATCTGGTTGTCAATATACAAAGGAATCTTCTCTCATTATTAATTGGACTATATATCTAGCATAACACAAATGAGGTAGATTTTGTAACTTTTCTATTCACAAATTAGGAACAACTATCATTTGTAGTATTTTCTATGGTTTCTCCACAGGGTGACCTGGCCTGGTGGGGAAAGTCATGCGTGCAGTGATTTATTTTCTGGTATCTATCTTGTCAAAAAGTTCCTAAAAAAAAAAATCAAGGAAATTTAAAGAAAATCAGGAGGAAAAAAACAAACATCATCCCCATCTATTTCACTTTGAAAGCTTGTCCCAGTAAACATTTAAGAAATGAATTTCTGGGTGGAGAGGTGGGGTGGAAGGTAGTTAGGCAATGTTATACCACACGTAATATAATATGCTTTTCTTCTCTAAAAAAAAAAAAAAAGCCAGGCCGGCACGGTGGCTCACGCCTGTAATCCCTAGCTCTCTGGGAGGCCGAGGTGGGCAGATTGCTCAAAGTCAGTTCGAAACCAGCCTGAGCAAGAGAGAGACCCCGTCTCTACTAGAAATATAAAGAAATTAATTGGCCAACTAATATATATATATAGAAAAATTAGCCGGGCATGGTGGCACATGCCTGTAGTCCCAGCTACTCAGGAGGCTGAGGCAGCATGATTGCTTGAGTCCAGGAGTTTGAGGTTGCTGTGAGCTAGGCTGACGCCATGGCACTCACTCTAATCTGGGCAACAAAGTGAGACTCTGTCTCAAAAAAAAAAAAAAAAAAAAAAAAAGCCAATTCATCATATTTAATGAATCTTTTTTAACTACGACTGGATTACCTCACCTGGTCTACCACTAAATAATATTTTAATCCTATAGATATCCTAATGCCTTAAATTTGTCCTTGTAACTACATTAAAATCTTATTAGATGAGCGAGACACTAAAAATATGTGAAACATTACACGAAGAATAAGATTACTCAAGTTTTATAAATATTAGAAATCTACCAACTAATCCAATATATTTGATCATTTCAAAAGATAATCTATATTAGGGAACTTCTTGAGCAAAACACTTCCCATATAAATTTTACATCTTATACAAATTATAAGAATACACATTTTTAAATGTGCTCTGACCCTAAATAATTAAGTAAACCTTTCTTTCTGTGACCTGCACCCTACCCTGCCCCAGAATAGAGGGAATTGGCAATGCAAGGCAGAAAAAAATCATTACTAAAATATGCATTTATTGATTCCTTCATAGCGCTCTCCTCCCACGACTGCCAGCTCCAATGCTTCAGTTCTTTATCCCTCCGCCTTAACTCTTCTCTTCTAGAAAGTGGGTCAGTTCACCTCCGCAGACTACCAAGGAGACAGATAACAACTGAACATCGTTGGCATGCCCTGATGCTTCTCAGATTCAATTATTTTGTTAAGATTTTGCCTTCCCCATATTTTTCATCTCTCCAGACTTCCCTATGAAGGCACTTTTGAGAAAAATATCTTTATACTTCAACTTTTATACAGATCAGCAATGTCAGTAAGCACATCATATAAGCTTGGCTACACTGAAAGAAAAATGAGCAAGATTGTTCTTTCTCAGATTTCAGCTCCACAGGATTTAAGCTCCCCTGTCTTAAAACACTATTTATTCTACAAAACACTCACTTGATATGTGTCTTTAAGCTATCTTCTTCCTCTCCCCAATTAACCCTTTGCACTCGCTTGCTTTTTTCTCGATTCCTTTATTCTATTCGGGATTTAATTTTTTAAATGCCCCAGATTTTACAAAGCGTGGCAGTAGAATAAAAAACTGGAGTTTCTTTTCATACAAACTTATTTATTTGGATTTTGTTATATTTCAAATTATTGATACATTCAAAGAGTAATTGCACTCGACATCCAAGTGCAAAAGGTTAATAGGCATGTCCTTGAACCCTTCTGTCCCCCGAGTGCCTGCAGGTGCTCAGTAGATGCCATGTGAGTGACATTGTGGGATCATTCTCCTGTTCTCTGGCTAGAAGCCAGGATCCAGAATGGTCTACTGAAAAACGTTCAGACCATTTTTCAATTCACACTGTAACCCATTGCAGAGAGTTAGGGTGTGTAGTGGGTAAAGACGTTTTACCTTCTGTGTAATGCTGATCAGTTCAGTAGCAGCTACCCAAAAGGCTACGTCATAAAGAGTTCACTCTGGACTCTGCTCTGATGGACTAGTGATGTCTGCACGTGCATAGGTGAGGAACACAGTGGTACACATGCTCAGTATTTGCCATCCCAGCTTGAACCACTTAGCCAAAATCTAAATTTCATGAACTTCAGAACTTCTTACTGCATCAATTCCTTTTCCTAAGCGAAGCATTAAGCCAGGGATAGAAGATTCAAAGTCTTCCAAATATACATTTCATGTGCAATCCTTTTACATAAAAGTTTGGTGAAGAATATCCTTCCTGGTGAATCAGGCTAAAAGGTCAATTTCATGAACCCACTGTTCCCTCCTCTTTCCACTGGCACACAGTAAGAATCCGTTCTTGGGAGCGTTCAGAAGAAACTTTGAAAGTGCCACTAGCTTTTCTACAATAGCAAAAGCATCAAAGCTCTTTGTTCCAGAAGCGACCCCAGCCAGGATCACGTAAGGATTCCACTGACTATATAGAGCTACTCTCTTCCATTACAGTAGATGGCGAGCTCCCTTTTCTCATCCTGTGCTCTCCCATAAATCTGGACATCAAACACAACCCCCAAGATCAAGGGTGATGATGTTCAGATTTGGTTTCAGGCTTTTTCTCTGAAACCATTTAATAAAAACCTTGCACAAAGTCATTTCACAATGGCAAGAATACAAATTCAACAATTCCCCCAGCTAGGCCAAGGAAGTGTCCTAGGGGCTCAGCAAACTCAAAATAACAAATCGAACTCATTCTTCTTTGGATTTATTTGTAGTCTTCTCTCGGCCAGAAAAATCCTTAATGTTTTTCTAATGTAAAATATCAATGAAGTCCATTTCATAATTCTTATCTAAAGAAGTACATTACAAAGTGAAGTGCATCATTAAGTGCTGACAGCCTCCACTTCTAGCTTTATAAAAAGCATTTATTATATTTCCAAGGCAATCTTCCTCATCAATTTCCATTTCCTTAATCAAATTATATTGTTTAAAAAGGCAGTTTTACTGAATACTTGCTGTCCTCTCCACATTACAGAAATGTACATGTTTGCTCTCCTCCCCAACTCTTCTAGAGCATTAATGCCATTTATAAACAGCGACAGTCTCTCCTACTTTCTCTGAAAGAGAACAAACCACTTAGGCCAGGGTCATTTAAAAGATTTCTTAAAAGAAGTTCAATGATTATAATAGAATAAAATCCTTTCTGAGACAGAAGTATGTTAGAATGAGGAAAAAAAAATAACAATATGTTGCTTTTCATAGGATTTCAAGAAATATTTTTCTTTAGTGAAAGACCAATTTGCCTTTGAAAGTTAATTCCGAATCTTTGAAGAGCTTCCCAAACCCCATGCATGGAAATCATTTAATTAAATGTCTCAGGGAAGTAAAAAGATATTAACATGATGACCTATTGTAGGACATTAGGAGCAATGTACAGGATTCCACGGGCCCAGAACAGTAGCCCAGCTGCACCAGAGTCCAGGAGATCTGGGGGTTTACAGGTTTACATGTTAATCCATCCCCCACAGTCTTCTGCTGACCACAGGAGAGCTATATTCAGAGGTACAAAATACAGCCAGATCCAAGTGAGAGGTGCAAAATAAAGCTCAACTCAGATTGAAGCAACGAATGAAATTCAATTGTAACTTGATGCATCATCTGAGTGAGCCTCTAACACCAGGTACTTTTGCAAAAAAAGAAAAAAAATTCAAGTTCTACAGTGCTGCAATATTTAAGAAAAAGCACTGTAAGATAACATCATCAGGTATATTCTGGCCCAAAGTGTGTCCTGTTTAGTATTGAATATTAAATTGAATAAAAAATTTTAAAAGAGTTAAAAATAAAAACCATGTTCAAATGGATTTTTTTTTTTTTTTTAGCTAAAAGAAATTCAGCCTCTTCTTTTTTTAAAAAAAATAGGTTACTACCTACCACAGGAGCACAACTCCATGAGGTGCAGAGAAAGACAGACTTAAATAATGAAAGGGCTCTGTAAACATTTTTGAAAACTATTGACATAAAGGAAACCAAATTTAAAATTATATATTTTTACTATTCAGAATGTATTAATAGTAAATATGCCATAGGTCATACTTTTAACCTTTTCATTTTTGCCATAGCCCTTCACTGGTCTTTAAAACAAAACAAAACAAAACAAAAAAGCTACATATTTTTATTTAGCTCAAGAAATTTAGGCACATGGGCAGGACAGATTTCACAAGTATACAGCTGTGTTTCCTAATAGACTGAATACATATCATTGCCATGAATACATCCTTTATCTTAAAATGCCAATGAGCATCAAAAGGAAATATTTTGTTGGTATTTTTGTTTAACAAAAATAGGGCTTCAAAATAAGTGCTTCAGTAGAATTCTTCAACAGTTACTAGCCTGTTCCCAGTGGACCTAGTTTAAAGCACCACACAACAATGTGTGTTTACATCACCCTTTTATTTCATAGTTAGAAATAATACAGTTCCACAGGGTAAATCATCAATAAATAATGGTGTTTAATCATTAAACGTAAAAATCCCAACTCTTTGGCATCTGACAGGATTCTATTTCTTGTCAAACTAATGACTGTACAGATATAGTTAATCTTAGTGATCATTCATCAATACAATATGTTACAAAGGTGCAATTTACTTTAAAATATACAACAGCTAAAAATTTCTAGCCCACCAAGAAATCTGATCATCTCAGTAAGATATGGGCCAACCTCCCCAAGGCTCTTTCATATGGTTTCCTGAATGGAAGTATAATAAACATTGATTAAGAGTTCCTAGGGTTTTCTAATACTTGCTCTGCTCTAGAGTTTGCCATTCATTCTGGCTAAAGAAAAATCACAATCGCACCAGGAATGACCCACTCATTAATTAAAAGGTGTTCTTATTTTATAAGCTAGATTGTTAACACCTAAGAAACTCACAGCCCCAAAATAAAATCTGAAGCAGTTCTATGCTGCCAGAAATGCCAATTCAGTCATAAATTGCACCTTTAAGAGTCAAAAAAAAAAAAGAAAAAAAGAAATAGAAATGTTTACAAAAGTTAAGTTACATACATTTTTTTTCCCAAAATATATTCAAGAATAGTTGAGCTGTATTTGTTACTAAAGCCAGGGCATTATTTCTTTAGCAACAAATTAAACCAGTGCAATTGACATAAATTGTTAAGTAATCCAGGATTAACCCATTAAAACTATAGAAGCACTTTAGGCTCCTACACTAATCCTAGAAACTGGAATTTCAATGAGTGCCTGTGTTGCACAGAACTAAAACTGGAATGACCTGATGCCATGCTGAATGGTATCACTTCATACTTAGTTTAAGCATTCAATAGTAGAAATCATAAGATCCTCTATTAAAGTTCCATTCATTTACAGAAAATTCAGATGCAAACAGTATTATGCCTATAATCCACAATTAAAAGAATCCTTTCCATTTTAAAGTTCTAGATGAATTTTAAATTCGAAAATAAGCACTAAGGAGACTTTTTTCAACTTATGAAAACTTCATATTGGAAACTTTCTGGAAAAGCTTCCCTCCCCCATTGTAAAATAAATACTTTGTATCCCAAATTTAATTGTATTAAGACACACTTTAATAACGCTATAAAGAAATATTTTACAGCCATAGAGATCAATAACTTTCCATGCGGAAATAAAAAATTCATTGCTCAATAATATTATTGAGGCAAGTAAAGAAAGATTATTCTCTTGTCAATCTGAAATGTTAATATTTTTCAGTGCAAAACCAGTTATAAAATATTTAAACTCAATATTTAAAAATAAAAAGTGGTCCAATTCAGCAATGTTCAAGTTCTAAATTTCATAAAACAAATCATTACATACATTGTATAGTAAAATACAGAGATTCAAGAAGTACTTGAGTTCTTAAGATATAAATTTCTAATGAATCATACCAATTCAGCAACAACCAAGCAGATAACATTCCCAATTTGAGCGTCAGAATCATAAAGATGAAATTACTGTACCAAAGCCTTTTTTCCTAGCTAAACAGCTATACAAACTAACGGTCAACATTTCTGTTATCTTTGCAGTTGCGTGCTCTAGAATGATATCCCCCCCCCAAGTACCTGTGATTTCATTCCTGTATTCAAAATTTTATCCAGACAATTTTTATGTTCCAAGAACACTTAGCTGATATAACCATCTATAATGTGAAGAGTCATGTACAGAGTACAGCAGTGGGTGTTTTTCTAGCCAAGTGCAGGCTGACCTAAACTGGTTTAAACGCTCTGTAAGTCATTCATGTATTATTCCTAGCAAACACACGGTCCCCTCGGAGGGTTAGGTGTTGAAGCTGGTACTGTAGCACTTCTGTGTCAGCTGGCTCCTTGATGTTCATTTTATCTAGATTGAGGTAGTCCAGAGATTTGGAGTGAGCCCTCTTACCTTTAAGAAGACAGAGAGGCAGAGGCCCATGGAGGGCCTTATAAGGTTCATAAGGTAAAGATTTAGTGCACTTGTCTCCTGAGCTGGGCATGCGCCTTCGCCTCCTGCCGTTGACAGCTGGAATCTCGTATGGCTGGTAGTACCGACTTCTGGTTTTATACAAACGAGAGGAACGGGCAAGTCCTGCATCCAGCTGTTTGGAGCGCAAGGAAGGCACAGCTTCTCCCTTGCTCTCTTCACCTCCTGTGCACTTCTGGGCTAACTTCAAGAGTTCCTCACCGGTTGTGAAGCCCACCAAATAGTTAGAGTCCATATGGAGGATCTGGTAGCCTGACACAGTCCTCCGCATCGGGGAGCAGGGCGTGCTGGAGCAGCGGGGCTTCTCTGCCTCGGCCTTTCCTGGGGAGCTGGCCTCGGCCACGGGGAAGGGCAGGCTGCTCAGGGTACTTCTGGACTCTCCATTAATATCGACTTCCATTTTAGGCAGCAGTCTGCACACTCCTAAAAGTAAACAGACTCAGATCAGAAAAGCATAATGCACAGAACCTTGGGCCAACCCAGATCGTTTTAGAAGGCTCCAGGAGTATGAAATAACGCTCGCCCAGAAAGACAGCCAATGTACCATCGAAAAGAAATGATGGTACATCTACTTAACGTCCATTAAAAGTTTCAGAGCAGGCATGAAGTGACCACTACCTCTCTGCCTTCAAGAACTTAAAAAAAGCAGGTTAAAAAAAGAACTTAAAAAAGCAAGACTTTGGAAGTCCAAAGTGCTACAAAACAGTTCAGATGGAGAAGCAAACAGAAAACAATGACACTTCTCCAAATGCAGCACTCCTTTCAATCATGCAAAGTTTGTTCCTTTACAGATCTCCACATTAAGCAAATAAAAGCAATCATACACATTCACAAGAATCTTCAAAATGTTTCTGGCTTAAAAGTTAAATGTTTCCATCATCTACTATTTAATTGTGCTCAGACCTGCAATTCTTCTCAACTGTGTTTAAGGGACATAAAATAAAATTGATTGAGCTGATCAATTTCTGCAAAGAATCCAATTTAGACCTAGAAAAATATTTTTAGGGTATGAAGAAGTCTTAGGTGAAAGTTTTCCCAAACCTTATAAATGTTCCTCCTTCCATATCCCCAATGAATTATTTAAAGAAAATCATTTTATAGTTTATGAGTTAATCCTAAATTCCATACATCACATTATTTTTAATATTAAAAATACAAAAAAAATCAGATGTCATTTTCCTTGACTACTTAATCATAAAATAAACCATTGACTTGACAGTTATTTTATGTTATAATAACTAAGGCACTATACTTTCAAATAGTTTCATAAATGGCAGAACAATTCACAATGAATACTAACATTGTTCCTTACAATTATCACTCTACATAGTTTGGGAAACTGCATTGACGAGAAGTACCAAAAATAATGGTTAGGTTCCTAGGAAACTGAAGATAAATCAAATTCTGAAAAATAAAATATTAAGGGAAACAATGATAATGTCTTTTCTAAGAAGCTGTTTGTACTTGCTCTTCAACTGGAAGTAGTTAACAGTTTTAAGTATCTCAGATTGCTAATCAAAATGATGTCAATTGATTTTAAGATGAAAAAGTTACTAAAATATTTATTAAATAATTCTTAAGAATCCTTTTGTAAAACAAAGAAATCATTTCCTAATTGAAGTATTTCCTAAAGTTTGGGTATTCATTTAAATCCAAGCCATTAGAAAGCTACAAAAGAAAACCAGAACCTTATTCCTCCACTTGCATGCTCTACTTTCCTTCATTAGAAGACTGCGAAGTTACCAGCTGCCATCCTGTCCTCATTAGGGTCTCCATCCACAGCATGACTAAGAACATTCATGATAATTTTCCTGAGATAAATCAAATGCCAAAGGGATCAATATAGTTTCACTATTTACTCTAAGCCTTAGACTATTTCCAATTTTTATTTAACTAAAATGCTCTAGTCCATCAAGCTTTCTAGATTTAAAGTATCCAGTTTTATTTATTTTACTGATATAAAATTAAACTTATATTTGACTGTGCAATTTATTTCTCTATTGACAGGATTAGAATAGTAGGTGACTACCAGCTACTTTGACAATACATATAAGATTTCTCAGCTAATAATTCTAGAGAGCCATATGAAACCTAACCAAATTTTTATGCTACACAAGCCTTTACTCTCAGCCAAATGACAAATTAATCCTTCCTTTCTCACTATTCTATAGCACAGAAAGAGCACAAGAGAAGGACAAGGCCTCCAACCTACATAATGTGACCGGCAGCTACAGGCAGGAACCATTTCTGTGATACTTTATTCTGAAAGGCCAGAAGGGGGGGACCACGGCACAGACTGGGTGCCACACCCAAGGAGAATTACCAAGCAACCCATTTGTACTAACAGAGATTCTGGTTTAGGTGTCTGAATCCAGCACCCCATGACAACCCATGGATTTCCACCCAGCACCTTTTTACTGCATTCTCATTTGTTATATTATAAACTTCTTTTAAATCCATGAATTCAGACTCCACTCATTCTGAACTGGGTAATAATTCATACAGAAGCTAGGCTGAAATTCATCTTTTTTTTTGTCTATGAGATAAAACATCACTAAGCAAGTTAATAGTATATAAAGTTACAGTAAAGAGGAGTGGGAACAGGCCTCTGTGGTCAACAGACTCATCAAAAGTTTGATCCCATACTATGCCAATTCTACTGCATCAAGGCAAATCTTCGGGAATTCTTAGAATCTTTTGGGGTTGGGAATAAAGATGGAAGAGTACAAAGATTTAGAGATAGGCAGAAATTATATATTTAGCTAGAAACTAAGTACCTGGAAAATTAGAAAAATGAAGAAAGTAATGTATGAAGGTTAAATTTTGATTTTACATGAACTAGACACTATTGTTAGAGGAGTAACTATCATCAGTTAAGCTTCTAATAGTCAATAAAAAAAATACCACCTGGTTTGGCAGGACTATCCAAATACGATCTTCAGGCATCTACGATTTAACACCGATTTAATACCTATGTTAAGTAGAAAATATAGATGTGGTTTAAGAGCTCTCAAAATTTCAACCAAACAGCCAAGTATGAAACCTACCATATTTCACTGAGGTAGACAACACACTCACTGTAGAAAATACCACCTAACCAGAAGGTTAAAGAAATAAGAATTTCTAATATCCCCTAGTGTAAATATTCAACCTAGCACCCAAGGCCAATGCAAAACAGGTCAATATTCTAGATAAAATTCTTGAATGAGGGTCTCCCTGCACCGGAATATGAAAAGGCTCATTTTAAATACTGCATATACAGCTGCTACCTGCTGATCTTCTGAGGAGCAATTCTAAGAGCTGGAGAACTGCACTTTTTAGCTATCAAACATCAGTACTTTTGCTCCAAACTAAAAATAGTGTATTCTCAAAACTAACAGCTCTTTAGGCGGTTCATTGGTCTCTGCAGTGTGTTGCCATATGTACGAGAACAACTTCAGGTCTTGATATTCATGTAAGGAATATGAATGGTAGAACCAAGACTTACAAACTGCTTACGTTTTTAAAAGGAATTCTTTTTACTTATATATCGCCCTTCTAAAGAACATCTACTTAACTGTGTGCAGCAAGAGAGCTAGGTGGAGTCTGAGTTTCAGAAAAGAGAGCACTGATTGGCAAAAACTCCATTTTTAGTTGGGCAGAATGCTAGTTAAGCAGCCTACCTCCCATTCTTCACAACTGTGACAGAAGACAAAACTTTTTATGCTGCTACTAAATCCCTGAGAATTGTGACTGGCTTTAAATACTGGGTCAAGATCCTGAGAGTAGTTACAGGAATCACCTTTCCTCAGGTTATCTTTTAAAAGGGCAGAAGCTCTTTAAGAAATGTCCCAGCTTAGGAGGAAGAAGTCTAAGTACACCTTCTAATTCCAGAATTCTGCCAAAAAAAGGATGACACTAAAGATAGTAAAAATTGAATGGTCTCAAAGTCAACATATCTTGATACATGGACATCAAATATTCTCCATGTCAAAATTTCCTATTAAAAGGCATTCATTGGGAACCTTACCTACAACTGGAGATGGCCCAGATTTTACCATGAAAAAATTGCTTATGGGCTTGTTACTTTTGAGAAGCCTATTCATGACTCAGCATTTTTTTATATTATAAAATATAACCTTGTATCCAAAAAGCATGCTGCCAAGATAAATAATTGCAAAGTGCTCATAAATATCACTGCAGGTATATGCCACGGCAGCACTAGAATAAACTGTGAATCGTGAAATCAGGTACAATGCTAACTTCTGCTTTACAGAATACTAAAAATCAGGGACTACAGATAACTCTTCTTGTTTCCATCAATGCTGTTCCTATATATTAACAGTTTAAAGCAAAAATAAAGACTAGAAAAAGGCTGGGAGCAGTGGCTTACACCTGTAATTCCAGTATTTTGGGAGGCTGAGGCGGGAGGACCACTTGAGGCCAGGAGTTCAAGACCAGCCTGGGGAACATAGCAAAACCTCATCTCTACAAAATTTTTTTAAAAAAATAGGACCAGGCATGGTGGCTCACGCCTATAATCCTAGCACTCTGGGAGGCCAAGGTGGAAGGATCGCTTGATGTCAGGAGTTCAAGTCCAGCCTGGGTAAGAGTAAGACCCTGTCTCTACCAAAAATAGAAAAAATTAGCTGGGCATGGTGGCGTGCACCTGAAGTCCCAGCTACTCGGGAAGCTGAGGCAGGAGGAGGGCTTCAGCACAGGAGTTTGAGTATGGGGTGAGCTGTGATGACACCACTGCACTCCATCTGGGCAACAGAATAAGACTGTCTTGGAAAAGAAAAGGAAAAAAGAGCAGCAAAATTTCTGTGAATAGAAGAGTCTAGAACAGAAAATAAACAAGAATAGAAAAGTCATCTCGTAGTTGAAAAATGCTTTTAAAACTGAGTTTCTTAAACAACTACCAGGAACAAATGTAATTTTTAAATGACACCTAACCGTCTTCAATACCAAATTCCCTCATAATCCAACCAGTAACGATAGCACGGACATATTTATAAAACACAGAAGACTTGGCAGTGGTCACAGGTGCTACTCTACTTCCTAGAAATTTATGAGGAAGCAACTATAAAACATGACACTACAGAAACATAATGTTAATTCTCAAAAAATGTACAAAGTGCACATTTTAAAAGCATTGGGCACAACATATAATTGTGAATTCTGGCTAAAACTAAGGCAAACAGTTCCAAACCGCAGCACACATGTAGGAGGACCTGGCATACCAGAATGAGAACATTCAAAAAACTACAACCTGTATGGGATATGCACAGCTTTGAATACTCTCCAAGAGGCCAAACCTCCTAAACTTTGGGCACAAATACCAATATTTCAAAAATACAACCTAAGTCTCCTTGGCTCCTTAAACCAGCTTTGAAAATAGTTGGTTAAGCTTCACAACTGCTATAAAGAGAATTCTTTTCCAGAAACACTGCATCCCAGTATCTGTATTTCATCTAAGAAACTCAAAGAATTAATTGCTTCATTAACTTTCCTGTTTATTTATATATCAGTAAAATGCTCATTAAAAAAAATCCAACTCTCTAAAGCTTTAGCTTAGATGTCAGAAGATATGAAATTCTATCGTTAGATGCATTCCATCAACTTAAAAAACGTTGCTGTTTTTGCTGTCTTCTCTTAAAACATCTTTTAGTCTTCTCTGTTATAGAGTGAATTAGTTTATCAAAAATATTTTTCATGATTGGAGAGATCTGGTAAAGTCTGGTTATAAGGTAATTCTCATGGAGAGAAAGGAATGCAAAGGCTCCCAAAAAGATGAGAAAGGTGATTCAGCACCAAGATACCTCCAGGTATGGCCTATAGCTAGCTCCCATGCTACAGGGTGTTTGAGTCAGTGACACACTGCAAGAAACAAGATTTATTTTACTAGGCTTTAGGAATGGGGCTCTATCCTAGTTACTAAGTTCTTTAACTGTGCAGAGATATCCCAAAGAGCTCTTAGAGTCCACGGACATTTTTTATAACCACCTTTTCCTTCCAGATCCTTTTGAGTCTTTTCCTTTCCCCACTAACCTACTCCAGTGATAGCTATTTCTTTGCGAAAGCTATAAAAGCAATACATGCAACCTGAAAGCCATCCAATCCAAATAATCCATAATGCTGCAGTGTAAAAGGCAAAAGCACTCTTCACCCCCTACCAATGCCAGACACATCTAGAGAAAACCCCTATTAATATTTTGGAGTATCCTTCCTTCTCCTGGGCATTTACAAATGTTTGAGAGTGGGTGATCAGTTTTTCCCATAATGAAAACATGTAAGTACATACATATATATGTATTTATATACATATATAGACACGCAGGACTATTTCTGCAAGAAATTCCAGAAGTAAAAATGCTGAGGCAAAGAATATGTATTTTTAAAAATTTTATATCAACAAGCACAAAAACCTTATATATCATTATTCATTTTTTTTACATGGAGAGTGTATTACTTTGTAAAACTAAAAATTAATATAAATATCTTTTAAAAGTATAATCTATGCACTCACCAGGCGAGTGTCTATTTCTCCTTTTATTGCCTATAAATAGGAATTATCAAAGAAGAAAGGGAAGATGATGTACCCAAAAGATAATGCGTTTGATTTTTTCAAAACGGATAAGATAAATGAAAAGGGCATCATGTCCATTCTTTGACCTCAAATCTCCAGTATTATTTTCCCTTATAACAATTAGACATTTTTTAAAAGAAATATATAAACTAAATGTCAACTTTCCTTCAAAAAAGGGAAGATGTGTGTGTGTGTGTGTGTGTGTATGAAAAATATAAACTGTGTACATTTTAAAAGCACTTGGTACAACATGCAATACCCCAGCACAGGATTATGCCTGAGACTAAAGCAAACAGATCCAAACCACAACACCCATGAGGGAAACGCTGTGCACCAGGACGAACAATCAGAAATCTACAACCTGTATGGAATCTACACAGTTTTGAAATTCTCTAAGAGACCAAGCTTCCTATCTAGTTGGCACAAAGACCAAAATTTAGAAAATATAACCTAGATGCCTAAGCTCCTTGGACCAGCTCTGAAAATAGCTGGTAAATTTCACAACTGCTATACAAGTTGATTCTCTTTGAAATTGCATCCTGAGAATTTTTTAAAATAAGGTTTATCAAAAAAATTCACTCCCAGTAACCAAAACACTGGCTCCATATGCTTTAACTGTTTTGCAGCAACATATAGCAATAGCACATAAGAGAAAACAGATATGAATATAAATGTCGTCATGTTAACAAAATCCTTTTCAAGAGGTACCTGAAACAAACCATTCAGAATAGAGCTATGCTTTGAGAAACGGCATCTCCTAAGCCTAATACTGGTTTAGTGATATCTAGAATCATCTAGTTTTGTTTTTGTTTTTGTTTTTTGAGATAGAGTCTCACTTTGTTGCCCAGGCTAGAGTGAGTGCCGTGGCGTCAGCCTAGCTCACAGCAACAGCAAACTCCTGGGCTCAAGCAATCCTTCTGCCTCAGCCTCCCAAGTAGCTGGGACTACAGACATGCGCCACCATGCCTGGCTAATTTTTTCTATATATATTAGTTGGCCAATTAATTTCTTTCTATTTATAGTAGAGACAGGGTCTCGCTCTTGCTCAGGCTGGTTTTGAACTCCTGACCTCAAGCAATCCGCCCACCTCGGCCTCCCAGAGTGCTAGGATTACAGGCGTGAGCCACCGCATCCGGACAGAATCATCTAGTCTTAATGCCAGAGTTGTCTTGGAATTCCCCTACCTGGAAGCTTCACCTCCATTGATACAGAAGAGGACACTGAAGCCATGAAGACAGGGGCTTGCCCAAAGCCATGCAGGTAGTTAGTGGCCATGATTACATCCCAGGACTCCTGGCTCCAAGTCCAGTGTTCCTTCAATTTCATCATGCCATGTTTCTAGCATGTGGTTCCCAAACTTGTCTATACACTGAAATCATCCAAGGAGCTTCAAAAAGTACTGATGCCTCTGTTCCACACAGGATTAGTGATTTAATTGATCTGGGGTATAGCCTGGACTCTGAAAGTTTTAAAAGATCCTCAGGTGATTCTAATATGCATACAAGTTTGGGAACTTGTTAGATAGAATTTATCAGATAGAGGAATTTCACTCCTGTAAGTTCCTGCCTTGTTTTTAATCAGTAATTATTGTATAGTCATGTTGGTGAACATAATTTCTGTCTGCTTATAATTGCTAACAACCTATTCTTCGGCCTTCTAATTTACTGTTTCTAATTCACTGTGGGCTGAAAATATCTGCTAACCAAATGTGTGAAAACTGGATATAAAATAAACATAAATCTGTGCTGAATGAGAATCAGGCTCCTTCATTTGCATACACTTTGACATTGTTATTTTAGCTATGTAGAAACTTTTGTCAGGTACAGCTACTTTGGAGAATGGTTTGGCAGTTACTTATAAAATTGAATAAGTGCTCACTAAACAACCCAGCTACCCCACTCCTAGGTATTTACCCAAGAAAAATGAAAACACATGTTCACACAAAGACCTGAACATGAATGTTTATAACAGCTTCATTCACAATCACCAAAAACTGGAACCAACCCTTAAGTGTCCATCAACAGGGAAATAGATGAACAAGAGTGTGTCCATCCATGTAATAGAATACCACTCAGTAATGAAGAGGAGCAAACTGGGGATACATTAAGTGAAGGAAATAGATAGAAAACACTATGTATACTGTATGATTCCAATTATATGAAATTCTGGAAAAGGCAACGCTATTGGGCCACAAATCAATAATTGCCAAGGACCAGAGACAACTACCAATGGGTCAAAAGGGAATTTTGGGGGATGATGAAAATATTCTATATATTGACTTGTAGTGTTCATTACACAATTGGATATAATTGTCAAAATGCACGAAACCATATACCTTAAAAGAAAAGTGTGAATTTTACTACATATGTTATACTTCAATAAAGTTGTTAAAAAGAAATCTCTGTCACATTTCCAAGTTTTAGATGATCCTCTGAATTTTAAATTTTTTGAATTGTATAATCTCAGAATCAGAAAGAATCTTAATGGTTGGCCAGTGTACGTCTGAACACCTTCAATGACAGGTACTCACTACCTCCCATGTTGGCTCATTTCACCTTACACAGCTCTGCTAGAATGTCATTTTATTTACATTTATAACTATAGCTTTATATACATACACATATACAGTCAGCAGTCTGTATCTGTGGGTTCTGCATCTGTAGATTCAACCAACCACAGATAGAAAATATTTTTTTAAAAAAATAACATCTACAGAACATGTACAGACTTTTCTTGTCATTATCCCCCAAATAATACAGTATAACAACTATTTACATAACATTTACATTGTAATAGGTATTTTAAAGTAATCTAGAGATGATTTAAAGTATACAGGAGGGTGTGCATAGGTTATATGCAAATACTAAGCCATCTAATATCAGGGACTTAAGCATCCTCAGGTTTTGGTATCTGGGGGAGGTCCTGGAACTAAGCCCCCATGGATATCAAGGGACAACTGTACACACATATGAATATATAACGATAGACAGACATAGATATAAATATATACACATACATATATTCCGATGGCTTTTGCCCATTGCTTTATTGTGCTTTATTCCAATTAAGTAGGTTGGTGACTCAGCCACATCATTTCTCACTCAATATTCTCGAAAATCACTTTGTACTATGGTTTTTAAACTTTAAGATCTTTTCCTCAAAACTGAAAATTTTAGTAATGCTTCCATTTTTTTTTCAATGTTTTAAAATGCATCTTCATAAACTGGATAGGTTTTGTCAACTTAACAAAATTAAATTGCTTGTTTTTCCCCACCATCCCTTTGAATCGTTCTGCTGTGGACTTCTCATTTAGAAATCACTTATTAGGAAACTCTGCTTTTTCCAAGGATTACCACCTCTCTACACGATTCAAAGCAAGAACCTACAAAGATACTGGCGAAGTAGAATGACATACAAAAGCATGAACTCACACTAGTAAGGTTTTGAAAATGCTGAAGATCCAGAAAGATCATTATTAAATTTTTTTCCCCTTCAAAGATTTGGAGGCACATGGACAACTCTGTCAGCACAGACACACAGAGGACATACTGAAAAAAAGACAACTAAAGGAAGACAACAGCAAGGCATATTTTTACCAGTTTAAATTTATGGTGTGATAAAAGGAATGTCACACTTGCAGTCAACTGCTATACAACTCTGTGAAAATGATGCTCCTTTCTGCCATTCTTTATAAGTGATAATATAAAAATAGAATTTTTTGCAAATTATTTCACTGATCATTGGAGATTAACGTTTTGACTAAAATTTCCCCCAAACTGGAGTAACTACATCTAACTACTACACTTTGAAATGTTATTGCATAAGATCTCCTTTACCTTCTATGAATTCAGAAAAAGGAAAATCAACTCAACGAATCAAATATTTCAAATAAAACAATGCTAGCATAAAACAATAATTTCAGTTCTCACCACTAAAAATTTTAATAATGTTTACAGTACATATATTTGCAATAATACACTGACATTTCACATTCACTTGTTTATTTATGTAGTCCTTAGAACACATTATGGTATTATGTTCACACAAATGGTTAACAAACAGAAAAAGCAAAATATAACTCACCAGACTAAATCCCAGAAGATGTCACTGTACAATTTCCAATGAGGCCCAAGGGAACACAGGCATAATAATTTTTCTGTGCTACTCCAGATACTAAACATGAAATACAAAAATAAACCTTTAACAAGTAACACAACTTATAACATAATTATATCAATTCTAACTGTAAAATAGAATGAAACTAGCAGGAGGTACTAACATCAGATACAGGTTATATGGCATATAATTATTAATTCAATGAAAGTAACTTTGAGTTTCTTCAGCTAAATGAATCCTCAAACATTTTATCATGCTCATTTCTCTGCAATTTTTTGCTTAAACTCTACCTAGAGATTAAGAACAGCTAACTGGCCTAAATAAAGAGATAAGAAAAATTAAGAGTTGAAGTGCAGGTTTCCCTATGCTAGTACTATTCACATGTTCATCAGAATCACGGGTATTCTATGGAAAAAAATAATGCTGAGGCTGGGGTCAAAAAAACAGGTCCTAGCTCTGGCCTTTCTAGGAACTCTGCTCTTAACTTAGCATAAACATCAATTTTTAAAATGAGGACAAAAATATTATCTTTCCCCCCTAATGCAGTTGTAAGGCAGATAAAATGAAATGAGGTAGCTGAACATGTTTTGCATGCTGAAAAGCCCTTTACAGATGTATGATGATATTATTATGCAATCAATGTTTGGTATCTACTCATTTTAGCCACAAAACAGCAACAATAAAAAATCTTCCATAAGACTGCTGTGAAGCAAAGGATCAGGAGGTTCTTGGAAAACAATTAAAAAAAAGAAAGAGAGAGAGAGAATGACTCAAAAACTACTTTTTTATAGTTACCACTTTAAGGTGTTTAG